GCGCTCAACTTAGCTAATCGATTTTTGAGCTCGCATTCCATTCTACCAACGTTAGCTTAGCCAACTGATATAAATATCAGTACTGCAACATTTTCATTCCACAGCCTGACACTGATCTGATGCGGAAATAAAATAAAATCATTTCCCGCGATCAAACATAACATAAAACCCTCAGGGGAGATCGGTCGGTCATCGCTTCCTCGCCAAGTGCTGGCTCACCAACAGAACCAAACGACCACAAACGACCACACGATTGGATGATTCATTCGAGTCCCATTTGTGGCCGGACACCTGTTACATGCGTTAAATGTAGGAGAAAAAGAAGCCGCTGTCCATTCTTGAAGACCTTCATTGGGGGCTCTGAATCGTTCTCAACTTTATGCAGACCTTAAGACCACTGCACTGGCATGACAACGTCAGGGCTGCAGCTCAAAGTTTTGTTGTTCAGTTCACTGCTCTGCGTAGTGACTGTGCTAAGAACCCAGCTCACAAATCTTCAAGGAATGTCTTCGCTCACTAGGTATATAGAATCTTCTACTTCTTCTCTTCACTTTGACGGCTCCACGAGCCACTTAAAAAACCCTGGCTCATTGCGACCTACATTAGATTCTCGGACCCGGCGGCTGGGAGGACGCGAGCCAGTGTTGTGTTGTGACTGGACGTGTTCCCCAGATGGGTGGGCGGTAGGACAGCGGTGGACAAGACAGACACTGATGGAGAGCCCCACTGTGGGGTGCGACGCACCGACTGCTTGGCTACAGCGGAGCCTGTCCCAGGCCATGGGTCACGCTGAGGCAGAATTAAGTATCAATCTTGCCCACTATATCTGCTCCTAGTAGTCAGGAATAGTGATTCCTCCGACACTTACACTCTGAAGCCGATAGCTTAATAATCACTAAGCATGCAGTCCCTTTCCTTCCCGAGCCGCATCGGTACCTCAGCGACCATGTGCCGTTTGTGTCACTTTCGACCTTCCCCGTCTTGCCGTCTCTTTCCCCCTTCCATCCCCCTCCTCCCCGCCCCCTGGGCGCGGCTGACAGATGACCTGATCTAGCCGCCCCGTGCCGACTTCATCGGGTCATTCTGTCATCCGGCTGCCCGCGGGCCATTCGGATAGTTCCACATGACAGCCGCAGAGTTTGGGGATGTGTGCGCGAGTGTATGTCTTCCGTCTATTCTTCTTTAGGGCACCAATCACTCCCAAATCCTTGTGCACTGGTGCGTGAGGCTTGTTGTTACATCAATAGTGGCGGACTTTGTATTTTGTTACTTTGAGTTTGGCACTAATGTTAGAGAAACTTCAAAATAAAAGATTTGGACGTAAAGTGTGTTTGCAATTTTTAACATAAAAAATTCATAAATGATGATAAATAGCAAATATCTACTCATTTCTTGTAAGTACACGTAAGAAGTAAGTTAAGTATTAGTTCAACAACCCTGTGAAGCGTGAGGCGGAAACCTCGCCTCATTAGCAATGTAACCCGTAATGTCTTGCACGAGCCCTCCTCGTGAATAATGTCGCTGCTTCCACGCCACGGGGCCACTGTGAACAGTATTTCAAGTCTCGCATGTCGCCGTCAGCTTAGCACAATGATAAACGGCATCCTCACGGCCTTGTCACCCCCCGCTGACGAGTTAAACAAACTAGAATGTCATAACTGAGCTAGTTGACATAGCCGGGACTAACGGGTTTGAGTGCCGTGGGCCACAGCTGCAGGAGGTCCTCCAGTGGACATGATAAGCAACAGGCCGAGTTGGAAACGCTTAGATAGCCGAGCGGCCGACTCTCTTATCATGTCCAACTTGCCGTGAGGAAAATCTGGGGGCTCACTGGCGGTTTTCGTTGAACGACCGAGCGGCGTCAGAAGTGGCTTCACTGACAAACTTCTATGAAGAGCTGAGAGTGTCAGAGACAGATAGATCATAAAACGACTGGGCCGGTCTGAGCTTCCTCCCGCGTGAGCTGCAGCTCGGTGTCAGAGCAGCAGTCAGACTGACTAATTTATGAGGCCGGCCATCTAATTAAGACCGCTAGAACGTTAATATCCGGTCGGATCTATGACGAATCCCATCGAATCCCTAATGATTCATAAACTGGGCCACAGAAGCTAAGTTGGCTCTCGTCAGACTTAAACAGACCATCAGATGCCCAGAACTATACATTTGCTTTACCAAATTAGAGAACTAACGTCAAACTGACAATTTCATTTCAGCAGAAGAGGGTTTATATCACAAAAGCAGCACAATATTTTGCTGCTGTACTGTTTTAATGTTGACAGCATATAAACAAAGCTTCAACTCAAATCACCCAATATATTCCTCAACAAGTTTCTCCATTTCTTACTCCGCTCCTTGACTGTTTCCGTTTCTGACTGATGAGCGACCAGCATAACGTATGACACCGGCCAGCCTCGGGGAGCCATGAGCCCTTCTGGGGGCGGCGCCGACACCGGAAACTCATTAGAGAAGGACTGATGAGACTGAGAAAATAGATGAGAAATGAGAGATGAAGCCGGGGAAGTTAGTTATCAGCGGTCATCAGGATGAAGGGCTGGTAATGGCTGGTGAAGTCATAAGGACGCGAAGGAGGAGATGCTGCCCATGGAGCAAAGAGTAATGATTTGGGGCTACTTGTGATACAGTGTCCGGCAATGAGACAGCATGCAAATGTAAGGTTAAAAAATAACACAAGGGCACGTTCCATATAACAGACATCGGCGGGCAGCACGTCTCGTCAAACATGGTGGATATTATCGGGAGTGACCTCATCTGACCCGGCCCCTGAGCGATCGACCCTGTGACCGCAGCCAACTACAGTGGATCACTATTGTCAGGGACTAGTGGAGCTCATCAAACCGACTCCACTCAAAATGGAGCTCAGAACAGCATTACTCTGACAACTCAACTTTACAAATGATGAAAATCTCGAACTAAGTAGCAAAACAGCTTGGAAGTATTAGGCGGTCAACCGGCTTGGGCATGTCTTCTAGTTTTCCAATAATGGTTGCTAGCTTTTTAGGTAAATCTATATTATGATTTTTAGAACTGAAACAGAACAGCTAAATATTGGTAACGTTCAGAGTAAGTCCCAATGCTTATTTACGTCGCAACATCCTTCGCCTGATTGCACAGCTTTCTTAGCGAATCACAAAGCTTCTGCATGGCAAAGCAGCCCACTAAGCTTGGCTTATGGTATATTGCCGCGCCAAATCACTACTGTCCTGCATTACGACAAATCAATGCACACGACACGTAATACGATACTGCCGGCCTTTTCGACTCCATCGCCGGCGATGAGTGTTATTGCTCGCATAATACATTCAATGTCATCGGGACTATTGCCTTGATATTTTTAGCGCGCATTCGACAGGTCGCCTTTGAAAACACAGCGAGACAATGCATGGTGGGACTCACAGTGTATATAAATAGTGGGACTGAAGTGCAACGGACTGCAAGGGACTCAATCTAGGGCACGGTCGTGCAGAGAGCTCGCTAGCTGAGGTCACGTGCGTGGCCTGAATCGGAGTGCGCGTTGCTGGCGACATAATCACGTGATCAAAAGCTGACCTCTGTCTGATTCACCCACCGTTGGCTCATTTCGTTTTACTTTATTTAACTTCTCTTTACTGCCCACACGCCGTACAACCCACACAGCTACATCCGTAAAAAACTGATTTGCTGAGTATCCTCTTTTATCGCCGTCATGATGCGTCAAGAGCCAGTCTAACAGCACCTGTATAAAACACCTGTGACCTGAGAAGGCCTCGCTGTTTTCTGAGCGGAGGTGTCTCTCTCCGTCACTAAACCGAGGCTTGTTCGCTAACACGATACTTGTTTTCGGTCATAGGTGCTAGTTGGTGTTTTATGTTACGTAAGGCTCGGCGAATGACATCTGAGCGGCTTGTCGTCGTTTCTCTGGTCTCTCGAGATGTATGGCGTCATCCGTCACTTCCATGGTGTGGCTCGTCGTTACAGGCAAATTAATGTGCAGTATCCCATTAATGAAACTAATAGCCTCTGTAATGTAACGGTGTTAATGCTTAAGGTTAGTGACATGATTTCCGCCATCATTGCCATAACGATGCAAGACGCCAAAACATGGCACTTAGGCACTGCTGCCTAGCTACGATGAGGGTTTCCACTTTCCAATGACCATGCTACGTTTTCATTTATCTTTATCCACGCACCAGCTAGATCATCTTATTACTCTGCCACCTCGTCTTCGCCCACATAGGACGTTATTACCATAAAACCATGGCGTCACTTGTGGGACAGCTATGACGTTTTGTACGTTCTTTCAATGAGCTGATCCACAGACCACGCAGAATAAATGGCCACACAGGGATGAAAAATGCCGTCCGCCCGGCCGGCTGCGGCTGATTTATCGTTTTGTTTCAAACCCTGTCCCAGAGTCTCTGGGGGAAGCTGTGGCATCGGGCTACGGCAAAATAGCGCATGTGGTGGACGCATTCAGGCTGAAAAATAACCGTCATTCTCCCAGCGATCGTTTGATTTTATACCCCATTTACTTCTTTATTGACATTGTATATAGATGGACGATGTTTGCATTGATATTGATACCAAGCATATTTGCGGGATTTTCAAGGAAAACCCACGGTCAAGGTTAATGTGTCAAGGCTGTCACAAAATGTGCATCATGATAGTTTCATATCTACTTCCATAAACAAACTTCCAGCCACGCCCGCTACCAGCATAATTACCTAACGGATATTCATTTTACATACTATCAATATTGTTAAACGACAACTCCCTTTCTAGATAAAATAACTCGCCATATTGTTTTCTTTCTTCCTGATGTTAATGATTTTGTCTGTCATTAATCGGGCACTTTAAAGTTTGTTCCACCAGCTGTCATCTGACATGAAATCAAAGTTGTGAGTGTGGCATTACGTGTTCGGCTGGCGTTTCTTTACACATGGCAGTGCGGTGATTTGGGATTTTTGTACAGCTTTGCTGACGTCATTGTTTTGTGTTTTCAGGGCTGCCAAACGACCTCAAGGTGTACTGGCAGCAGTACCCCTGGGGTCTGGGAGTTGCGCTGTGCAAGATCAGAGCCCTCGTCTCAGAAATGTGAGTGTTCACTGAGTTGTCAATTTGCTGCAGCAAAACACGAACTTGCTAATAGCTCCCTAACTTGCTATTGACAAGCTGATTAGCTACTTAGCTTTAAGCTTTATCTCTCTCCACCCGATCATGCTCTGAAGTCTGTTGTAAAGATCTGCGTTATCTGCTACCAAGTCAAGTGTTGAGTTCAGAGATGTAGGTAATAGGAAGGATGCAATCAGAACGTGATTTCCCGCAACATTAAAAATCTCATCCACGGGGCCTTTGATGCTAAAGATGTGTTCATATATGTTCACATGAATAACCAAATCATTCTTTTGACGTTACATCTTTAGATGTAGGTCTATGAAAAACTTGCATGTTGTGTCGTTACGACTGAATACATTCATCATCCAAAGCAGAGACAAGCATTCAAAGACTGTTGTCAAAAATGAAGTCGAGCTTATCTGACAGAACATGTGACGGAACTCCTGTAATATGTGCATTCACATCAGAATGAACTGCACGTTTTTGTCGTGTACTGTCAAAAGACATCCATATTCCTAATAAAATCTGTCTCTGGACGGGAACGCTGTATGCGTAACATGACGACCCTCCGATGCGAGACCAAGTCCATCGATTTGAGACCGTCGATACGGTATCGTGCAGTTTTTGCGGCCCAAGTTTACCGAACTGAAGAAACGTTTGTGGCCAAGGCAGATGGGAAACGCAACAGCTTTGATCGATATCTCTGTTTTTTCCTCTGAACAACGACCTCGGCGTTGAACATGAAATTTGATCGTGATATATCACCTAACAGATGAAAGGCTCTGGCACCCCTGGCACCTTTATTCTTCAACATCCCTACCGTTGACTAGACCGGGCAATCGCATTTACATGATGCATTGCATATTACCGGTCGGTGGTCTTCGAAGCCGCAAGCGAATGTTGAGATGCCCATTCGGAGAACGGAAAAAAATGTTGGTGAATACGGAAAACGTTCGGGCCAGTGTCTTGCTTTGAGCTGAAATACCATTCTGGGAAACAATCGTTGGGTGTTCCCGCTGCGTCGACTCCCAGGGGACCTATGGGACCGCCGGCCTGGGAGATTGCCGCGACGGAGAATCTCACCAGCGAGTGCGGTGAGGTGGCGAATAATGATGAGGTGTTATCGGGGCTCCTCAGCCATCCTGCGGTACTCTACCGAGCTCTCCCCGCTCTGCCATAGGTACTGAACATCTTTTGTCTACTGTTCGCCATCCATTGTCCGTCGTATACCGTCCTTCGTCCGTCATCATCATCTTCATCACATATATTTGAACTTCCAGACGCATGTATCAATTAGTACAAAGGCACCAATGTGCAATGAATCGAGGTACAATATTCCACTGTCCACCGTCTACCGTCTACCGTCCACCGTCCACCGTCCACTGTCCACCGTCCACCGTCCACCGTCCACCGTCCACCGTCCACCCCAACGCTCGCCACTCTGGGGCTCCTAAAATATCGCCCACAAGCTGAGTGTTGAGAGCCATACATCACCGTGGACTGGAACTTGGCTTCCTGAGACCCCTGCGGCAGAGACCATTATCGCCCCAGCCTGAGCTAAAGCTTGAAGCTGAGAACTAACAAAAGCGCTGCTAGGTCACGTATATGTTTCCCCATATACTCTCCACGCATCCCTTTCAATGGATCTGAATCATTTCTAAGCCTGAATGATTTCTTTTTTGCCTCCAGAGACTATCCCACATTCATTTTTTTTTTTGCTGTTTAAATATGTGTGAAGTGTTTACATGTGGCTGTCAGACATTTGATGCTCAGTACGTAATGGAATCATCAATCAGCGAAAAGTGACTGAATTGCGTGTGAGTTTTAAGCCATCTTACATCTTTTTCGCACTTGCATTCTTGCATTTTCTGCAAAATGCCAAATGCTGTTATTTTCTTTCGTGTGTTGATCAGCAGCCCACGTCTTTGCCATCTCGGCGCAGTCCCAACCGTCCGCTTCATAATGTTTCTGTGTATGTGCGTGCAGTATACAAAAAGAAATATGATGAAGTTCATTGTAGCTGGTTCCTTACGATAACGCTTTGCGGAAGATTCATTTCTTATCTTGGACTCATTTTCGAAACGGAAAACACGACACAGTTTTCTTTTCATCTGTAAATATGTGATCCATTTTGTGTCACCGTTGCAAAGACATACCTACCGTTTGCCATAGATTCGTTTTCACAAATACGTTTGCGCATGATCGCGTTGTGTGATCATGTTCAATGGCATACATATTGCATACATTGGTCACTATCTTCTTTTTCTTAAAACAGGTTTGCATCAAGTAGTAGTAGTTTGTCATGGCAGCGGTAAATTATTTGTACCAAAGAGCTTTTAAAGGCATCCGACCAGCTATACTGTTTTCTGTAAAATAGAGCGACCAGCTGCTCCCTCAGAATGGTCGATAGACTGCAACCAATCAATTAGATAACTGCCAATGTTCAAAGACCTACCGCCAATTCCTTATTAAAACTATACAGTCAACGCTGTACCGTAATCTGCTCCTTTAGACTCTTCGGAAGGCAAAGAGTCTGTTCTATCGTTCCATCTTGATGGCAGATCCGGCGTTCTTTTCAGCACCGGAGGTGGCTTAAAGTTCCAACTTTATTTATCGCCAGGCTCTTAACAGTTTGGATGGGGGATAATGATACCAATCACCCAACACTATTGTATGGATAAGCCGTTCATTACGCGAGCGAACTAGTTTTTCAGTTATGATGCACATTGACACCGGTTATTTTGTTGAGAGAGGCCAACGCATTGGACCATCGAATAATATAAAATGCGTAATAACTGCTGGTGATGAAAAAAGAATAAGATTTTTAGAATATTATCCAACGTCCCTGTGCATGAGAGGAGTGCCGAATTTTCTCCTCCCCTATTCTAGCTGGTATCGCACTTAACCCGCGACCTGGTGGGGGGGCTATTTTTTGCCCCCCCCCCTCCAGACTTTTCGATATATCTCCAGAACCGCTGCGCCGATCGTCACCAAACTTTCAGTACCCTCCCGGACATCAATTTTACACATGGTGACCAAACTTTTTTCCAAAGGCTATGATAGGTTGGCCGGAAATGACGTCAGAGTGACGTCATGTTCTGCCGTTTTCGACCCAAAAAAGGGTTTCGCGGGAAGAGCTGTCAGGCCTATAGCTTTGCAAATACAGAAAAATGATAAGGACATAAAAGCTGTAGAATTAACAGGGCTACAAAACTGCTATCTCGGATTTTTGAAATTTTTGGATTTTGACCCCCAAAAATCAAAAAATATTTTTTTTGGATATAATGATAAAAAAATCCAAAAAGTTTTTTGAATTTCACAAAAACCGGAATATATGTGATAGTCCTAACCGCCTTCCATCCACATACCAAATTTGAGATTGATACCTCTTTTTTTGGCGAAGTTATAGCGAAAAAACTGTTCAAAATTGATGACGTCAAATTTTCAAACTCAATTTTTAGCAATTCTAGACCCCGTAGCGCAAAACAAAGACCACCATTAGACTCCCCGTGACGAGCTGCATCGAATCAATACCCATTTTATGCAAAACTATCAACTTTAAAATTTGACCTTTTTTGGCCTGACCTTGACCTGACCTTGACCTGAACTTCACCAGAAAGTGACCTAAGCCGTACCTGATAGTCTTATAACCAACACCATTGAGTTGGAAATGAAAAACTGGCCATAAAACATGCATCACACAACCTTAGTAAAGTTGGGCTCATGTGACCTGACCTGTGACCCTTGGTGACCTGACCTGTGACGTGACCTGGTATTTTCAGTGACCTCTGATAGCAGCATATCTACTAGGCAACTGACGCCCTATCGCTGATTCTCGACAAAATGCGTTTTCCTCGGTGTTATAGCGCATTCCCTAGAAGACCCGTGAACGGTGAAACATTTCATCTTTGACCTGACCTGTGACGTCATCGGTGACCCCGAGGTCAATGAAATTTGGTTTCCTTCGACAAATTTGATAGGCCTTTCGAACACCGTTTGAATTTTGCGGATCCGTCCAGTAGTTTTGGAGATACGAGGGGGGCAAAAAATAGCCCCCCCCCCCCACCAGGTCGCGTTATAAACAGACCCCACCAGGGCGCGGGTTAACACTGTTGCATATTTTTTTTTCTAATTAGGATAGGATCAGCTATCTATAGTCTATACTTACATAACTGCATGCGTACTTACCTCCGTTCAATGCAATGGCAGGCTTTCGCAACAATTTTGCACTTTCGTGAGCCGAACATTGTTTACTTTTCTGCAGGTATGCCGCCACTTACATCTGCTTAATGACGATGCAGCAGCACCTGTTAAGTAAAGTTTGCTTACTTGGTAAACGAACCCGTCAGGAACATAAGCCTCTTCTTGCACTCACGGGCTCAGCGACAGCCATTGAGCGCAGCTCGACGATATGCTAAGGTTTCTAGGACCAAAGCGCTACGTAGTAACAAAGGGAACTGCGGTTAGTGAGAGAATTGAAGTTTATCGGCTGTAATAAAAAAGCGCTTTTGATGCATGAGCTAATGACCCAATCAACCCAAGCTGGTACGTGCGTGAATGCATTGGCACCCAATCGATATATCATACACTATTGCTATGCTATTATCTGTCGTTCTGCCTTCAAATTCGTTTCACAACCCATCCAATGCAAAAATACCTTTACCACACATTTCAAGGCGGCCAACACATTATCTTTACAAAGCTTTGTTAGCATGGCTGGCCCAGACAGAACGATCGTTGCTAGCGAAAAATGATCATGACATTCACACAGAATGCAGCTAATGGACCCTTATTCACGCTCAACAGTTGAGTGACGACACTTTCATGCCTGGTTTCTCGGTGCAGCGAAGTCCAATATTTCCGTGACTCGTCGCATTTGCTTATGTCCATGCACGGAATGAATGTAAACAGTGCACCGGGCGAGAATACAGGCAAATGAAGTGCCTCATAAATCAATCTATTTACCCTCCGCACTGCAGACTGAAGGTGCGTATTTTCATTTCACTCGAACATTTTAACGCTGTAGATCAAAATGAGTCTTAAATGACTGGAATTTCCTGGCGAGTAATGGTTGTTAAACATAGTGATCGCGAACCAAAAATGACCCGATTTGCTCAGCTGATGACAACGCATGAACCTAGAACTGAAAGCCAAACTGGGTTTCAGGCGTTCATAAATTTAGCAGGGATGCCAGCGATAAGCCATCCAGCTTATTCAGCAAGTCAGCGGCGAAGTGGGGCCAGCTTTACAGCATGATTGACTGGACGACCAAACAGTTATCGGCAAAACGAAATGTGTGGATGCTCCAAGCATAAACTGGGTTTCATGAGCAAAATATGACACAAATAGTTCCATAATCGGTATCAGGCGAGACCAACACAGGCAGGACTGTTTTATAGGCTGTGTTTGTAGATCAAAGAAAAAAACTGGTGCCAGAGGCCTAAAGATGTGAATGATTGATTGTAGGATTTACTAATAAAAGGTATGTGAGGAGAAATAGGGAAAGAAGATCAAGTTGATATGACTGCTAATAAGATATCAGAGGCTCAGGTAAATGACATTGAGGTGTAAGGAAATCATTTATCAATCAATCAACATAACTTAACAAACCGCAATACTTAGTCCGTGCCTCTGGCCAAGCACGGTGCCACTGTTTCCATGACCACCCTCCTCGACATCCCTCCCCTCCCCCTCAGTCCCCGTCGGCACCCCCCATCACGATCTCGGTATGACCGAGGACCGGCAGCTCCGCCTCATTAGCCGCGCCAGCCGTCACGGTGCGCATTATTCGCCGCCCCCAGTGACGTCACGCGTAGTCAGCTGGCGCGGACGCCGGGAGCTCTATAGCGCGGCGATCGGCGTGTAATGCACCCTGGCTGATGACAGCTTTTAGCGGTCCGGATTGGGAAGCTGTCGCAGATAATGCCGGCCCGTGAGCTATGCCAAATTGGGATGGCTCGTTTAATGCGGAATGCATGCCATTACCCGGATGTTCGCTATTCTAGAGATATTCATCAGAGGACAGAGTGTCGAGATTGGTTTGGCGGCGAAATGCTGGGAATCTCATTGGAAGTCAGGCCATGTGGCATCTAACCTCGGATGAGATTAACAATGATAATTTACGGTAGCTTTATAAGCTCGATGGGTTCGCGTGACAACGGGCAGGGATGTATGGCCCCAGGCGTGTACTTGCTTGGCCATAGACGCTAGATACTAGATAGACAATCGCCGATCCGATCGAAGATCATGCGGTAACTTTGCTTTCATAGCCGATGATACTGTGCCGCAATGCACCACTGTTCAGCGGAACAGCATACCTACCAGCCGACACTGGAACGCTGCGGCTCACGGCCCAGCGTTTCATTTGACGTAGGTATTTACTCTAGGCGCAATCGCGAATCTCAGAGCATTCCAATTGAACGCTTTCCGACTAGTTTGCCCAAAAGCAGTGTATAGTCGACTATCATGATGTTCCACTCCTCAGAAGCTATCAGTTGACCCGTGACCGAAGCGCTAAGTTGTGCCGTTTATCACGCTGGCATAGCGTGTCGATTGTGAGCATTGGGACAAAGCTATAATTTGTGAACTCATGCGGCACAGCCTACCACTCCAGGCAAATAATTGCCTGTGAAAAGTAGAGCATCATTCTGTAGTCGACTATACACTGTAGTGTACAGTGTACATACGTATGTAGAGTATTTCGTGCCAGGCACTGGCCATGGAAATGCTTATATTGCCATCCCTAAGCAGATTCCACACTGCACAACTACAATACCCGACATAAGCGTCATGCAAGGAGTGCCTGCGCCGTTTCCGAGAAAGCACTGTGTCGGTCGACACTCACAGCTGGGTCATTTAACACCTAGATAGGTTGGTTGAGTGCACACTGCACAATTGTTGTAATTGACTTCATTGACGTTCAGGCTACGAGAATGAAAACAAAGGCAAATTAAATGAGGTTATACACTTCATATATTGCAATTAAATTGATAACTTACCATGGCGCTGACCTAAAATCAGGAAAACACCAACTCTTGATCTCAGGCTAATGAGGTAGTAAATATGATCATCCAAATGAATCCTTTTCTAAAAAAAAACTCGCATTGACCAAGCCTTAAGAAGGTACTCGACTCAGAGTTGTGCTTGACTCAAGAGTCGAGTCAGAAATTTGACTCAACTCTGACTCAAATGAGTCAGATTTGAGTCGAGTCGGATAAAATGTTGAGCTGTTGAGTTGAGTCAGAGTTGAGTCGGACAAAAATATTAAGGTGTTGAGTTGAGTCAGAGTTGAGTCATTAAAATAACTTTTGACATTGAGCTGAGTCAAGAACATTTAGGAACATGAGTCAGCTGACTCAACTTTTTAGAAACAATATATAGTATAAGTTTTTCATTCTCCCCCCGCTTAACAACTTAGGCCTGGCACTGCTGCCGGATTTTTTCACCCCCCCCCCCCGCTCAACAACTTTTTTATCTGAGTCAATTTTGAGTCAACACACTTGACTCAACAAAAAATTTGAGTCAAGTTTGAGTCAACTCATATTTTCATTGATCCGCTTGAGTCATGAGTCGAGTCAAGGGAAAAAATCAGCTCCTTGTTTGAGTCAGAGTTGAGTCAGGGCATTCTGAAGTTAAATGATGAGTCGAGTCGGCAAATTTTTTTGAGTCGAGCACAACCCTGGACTACTCGTACTCGTAAATCTTCTCTTAATAAGCATTTTCTCTTTTTTGTGAAAGGAACTAAACAACTTTTAATTAGCTCTCATTTGAAACGGAGGTCCCCTAATTCGTGACAGGATTTGATGAGGTTCAAGTCAGAACTACGTGACTAGAAATAAGAGATGGCTGGTGCTCGCTGCTCGGGCTGTTGAGTGGTTTGTGGTAATTAATATTGGCTACATTTGCAGTTGATTAGCACTGATCAACTTAAGCTCGGGTTCCCTCATTTAATTGCCATGCCATGATCAGTTACTCCAGCAGACCAGCGTCAGCCCCCTCGCTGCTTTCCCGCCTGCGGGTGGTAAGTACGCACAGCCAGAACCCGTTCCTATAGCAGACTACGCTAGCTGGCAGCGGCCATGGCCCGACCTTCTCTCTCTCAGCGGCGGTGGATGTCAGCCGTCGGGGCGCCGGGCCAGTGGCGGCTGCCGTCAGTGGCGCCCTGAAACTAACGACACCGGCCAACAGGTCCCAGCTAAGCCGCCGGCGTGTGTGCTGGCAGGGCAGACCGTTCATCGTCAGTGGCCCGAACCGAGTGTGTCCCGGGGGTCTACACTCTACAGGCTGTTAGCTCGACCACCGCCCGTGCTGAGAATGCTCCTCGCCTGCATCTCTCTGTATTTGTCTCTGCCTCTCTACCTCTCTGTCTCTCTTCCTCTCAATCTCTTTCTCGGTTTCTCTCCTACCCACTTCTCTATTCTTTTTTATCGCTCCGCAAGTCGTTAAGATATTTCTATCTCTCAATCAGGGGACGACATGCCACATGTGGCGCAGTGCGTCATATTCGTCGATACCGCAGGGTCTGCGTCGCAATGACCTCGATATGGCAGCGCTTGGTGGCGTGTCTAGAATTGTCGCTTAGGCACCAATGTCTGCACTGCTGGGCCAAAGTGGCCGCATTGGCAGCAACCGATCGAAATAGACGGCGCTCTTTCTAGAGCCACATAATGAGACATATCGGGGAAAGAGCCATATCTAGCCTTAAGCCATATCAGGCTTGAAGAGACTCCATCCTCGTTTTGATCAGGGATTTCTGGGGTTGGATGGGGATGGGGTGGGTAATTGAACGCTGACGACAAAGGAATTTCAATGGGGCGAAGAGGAATGAGCATAAAACGTGCCCGGCCTGCCAACAAATGGTGGCCAGACGAAAATCTGCATGGAAATTGCAAGTCACTTAAGCTGGGAATAGAATGCTATGATGAAGCGTTATCCAATGCATATCGAAGATATGGTTACTTGAGTACGTTTTCATATTACAATCAACGCATTTACAATTTTTGGTGCTACGATTGATGTGCACTCATGCAGCCATGAGTTACATGACATCAAATTCTGCTCAACAAAAATGCAGCGCAATTTTCCTTTGATATCATAACAAAAATGTTTTTGACAATGTGCTATGCTCCCAGTTTGTATGCCCATTGCTCAAGAACATTGGCATTATCACCTCCCTACCCATTTTTCCCTTTCTATGCGTCCGACAAGACGTTCGAGCTCCCCTATAACTCTCCGTACTGACAGATCCGATCACTCGTCCCTCTCAGCACCCCGTGTCTGCACTTGCCGCCCACCTAACCACCCGTCTCTGCGCTCCACAGGACCTCCTACGTGTCTGTGCTGATAATTGTGGCGTTCAGCCTGGAGCGCTACCTCGCCATCTGCCATCCGCTGCTCTCCTACACGATGGCCGGCCTGAGAAGAGCCATGCGGATCATCGCGGCCATCTGGCTGATATCGCTGTGCGCCGCCGCGCCTTTCGCGTTCTATACGGACGTGCACTACATCGAATTCCCTAGAGGTGGGTACTCAGAGAGCGTGGGCGTGGTAGGACGTCCGGTGGTGAAAGGTCAGGTTAGACGATAGGGTGGGAGAGGCAGAGTTCGTGGTGTTTTGGGTTCCGCTGTATTGCGTTATTATTGCTTGAATTGTTGGTACAGGTCTCGCGGGTTTTAGCGGTAGGTTTTGCACCTAGAAAATTTAGTGTACTTCAGGCTATATCTTCGTCGTCTTAAGCTTTTAACCCGCGCGGGGCGGGGGGGGGGGGGTAAATTTTACTCCCTTCGCGAATATTTGCAATATCTCAAAAACGGCGGCGCGCAGCGCCGCCAAACTTTCAGTACCTTTTCTTACATCAATTTGACACGTTCCCTGAAAATTTGAGCGAAATCCGTCGGAAAAAAGTTTTGAGAAATTGACGTTTTAGTGACGTCATGTTCGCCATTTTCGCCTCAAAAACGGCAGAAGTTCAAACGCCGCTAACATCTTCATTTTTAAAGGAATCAAGACGTAACAAAAAAGGATATACGTAATTCTACTTTGTCTATCAAATGGCTATCTCGGTTTTTTGAAAATTTTGGATTTTGGCCCAAATTTTTTTTCTTCAAAAACTGACTTTTTTGGGAAAATAACTATAAAATCCAAATTTTTGAGTGTATCGAAAAAAAACGGAATATATGTCAGAGAAGTGGTCTATGTGCACCTGCACACCAATTTTTAGAAGAATCGGTTCAAAAATGTGGAAGTTATTCAAAATTTTATGACGTCACGAAACACAATTTTTTTGAAAAATGACTTTTTTGGAAGTTCTAGACCTTGTACGGAAACAAAAATAGCACCATTCGATTCGCCGTGAAAAACTGCATCAGATAGACACCTTTTTAGGCCTTAACAACCAACTTCAAAATTTGACCTCACTTGACCTGACCTTGACCTGACCTCGACCTGAAATTCATCCAGAGGTGGTCCATATCACTTATTGAGTGTGCCTATTGAATTCTAAGAGTAAAATGACCCATAAAACATGTGTCGCACATGCCCTTTTCTATATTTTGTTTTTGGTGACCTGACCTGACCTGACCTGACCTTGACCTTGACCTCTGAATGATATTATATGCAACGAATATTGTCTTGGTAGCCTAAGAACACGTTTTGGGCGATCAGTCTCAGTCCATGACTCCATTCTTCGGCAACTACGGTGCAAGGCCGATACTGTAGGAACTTGCAATTTGTACCCTTGACCTGACCTTGACCTTGACCTCAAACTTAAAATTAAGTACATGTTTTTAGTTGTTCATGATGAGATCTTTCGATTGGCGTTTGAATTTTCCAAATCGGACCATTAGTACGGGAGATAACAGGGGGGTAAAATTTACCCCCCAGCCCCGCGCGTTCGGCTGGAGACCCCAGCCCCGCGCGGGTTAAGTGTTGAAGATGCGATCGACTTGTTGGGTAACAAGCCGGCCATGATCGTGTAAAATGGCTTCATCGTAGATCGATTAGTTTCTGAGATATAACCGGAAATGTAAAAGTACAAAACCTACCGCTTAATCTCGCGAGACCTGTACATAACCATAGACATTAGACTTATGTATTACTACTGATATAGAGTATAGTCTAACGTTTATATCGGTGTTGCACTGGCATTTCAGAGGTCCGACTCGTTGTGTTACAGGAACACCTATTGCATTTTAGGTATCGGTGGTTCAAAATCTGGATTGCTTCAACCTTGCGTGATAAACTTTCACTCAAGCTCATAGTCGCCAATGTCGTGATCAGCACTCGATGCTGGTAATAGATATGTGTTCAATGTAAATCCTCAGTCCCAGGGCTCCCGGCTTAGGTTCTGAGGTCCGTTTGGAATAAGTGGCAGTGGTCCTTGTTTAATATTCCAGCCGCTGGACTACCAAGCAGATCGCGAAAATGATGGGTCTCTGCCACTTTTGGTCTTTCATTAGAATTTGCATTTTAAAGAGCGTTGTGTCCAATCAAGGGTTCACAATAATAGCACAACTTTGTTGTATAATGAAGTGATGCAGACTTTCGAGTAACTGATTATCATTCAAACCTTCTGCGTGAGAAATTCCTTCCGCTACTTTGCCAATCTAACGATGGATTGCATCAGAAGCACACCTTTTGTTACGCATTACTTTGGATTGTTATTGACGTCATTACCGTTAAAGGTAGTGTGCCACCTTTGAAAGATTTCCCATTTTATTTTTCCTAGGATAAGAAGCTTCTGTTTTTACCAAATATCGCAAAAAAATCAAAAATGGGCCTGGAATAGTGCCTTTTTCGCCTAAAAGTTTTTCGGTTTTTAGATATGTATAACAACTGTAGTGGGCTCACCTGCAAACAGGCGTCGGGCAACAATCGCGAATGCGGCGCACTTGTGACAATAAGCAAAGGTCATTATAGTGTTACGACCATACGACGTACGGGAATGAGTTATCAGCTGTCTAATCGTAGACAACACAATGTCGAGCCTTAAACTGTAAGCCCGTATTGGTATTGCTTCTTTTATTTGGCTGTCGAACATTATTTATGGTTTGAAATATGATTTTATGTAAAATAATTGATATGAAAAAGCCGTCTTATAAGTTATGACCCCATTTCACCACACGCAAGTGGCAGAAATGACAATGATCAGCTGACGCATTTTTCTTGGCCGAAGTCAGAGCGCGCGGCCCGACGCACCACGCGTATTTGGAAATTCCGACCTCGACGAGCATCAGAAGCCACCTAACAGGCGTGTTCGAAACCGCAGGAGATGATGATGAACGGGTTTATCGAAACTTGATTGGATGAGCATATCGGTAATAGTGATTTCAGTGTGTGCATTTATTGTTCATAGTGGTGTGAAATGTGGTTGGGGTACGACCGACAACCCGTCGGGGCGAATTTCGCACTGGGGTACTCAAAATTTGAAGAATTTAAGACGTTTCCATGAGTTTTGAAGGTATGGATAAGTTCTAAAAATCCGGTTCTCCTTATCTGGGCCATTAACTCCATACGGTCCAAGAAAGCTGGCACACTACCTTTAAATGTGGCAAAAATGCTTCAAAGATTGAAGCATTTATATTTGATGCTGCGAGGAAATTTCGCACAATAGACCCGTGGTCTAAAGCATATATTTTTCCATTTCTTTCATTAATTTCCCTTCTTTAATGTTGCGTCTTTATGAGACGCATGCAGACGTCTAAATTTAAATGTAGCACGCTGAATTAATCAACTGCACTTAGGTACTACACCATCAGCGAAGTTTTTGGCAGGTTTCGCTAAAGGAACTCTCAGGCGGCGTTATTAACTGTCATTTTTCGCTACATTGCCCCACATTTTGCACGATGTATATGCAAATTTTATTTCAAAACACTGTCTTAACGTATTAGAGTGTGACGACCGGATTAGACGCACCCGAACCGCCGCACTGGCCGCGCTGAGCCGTCTCCGTTCCCGGCCATCCGCCTTGGATGGCGGTGTTGCTAGCCAGGGCACGTGCCACTGATGAGGCCCGCTGCTTTGATGAGTATTTGGCTGTGCAGTGTCGCGCAGTTCACTTAGACTTTCCGAATGGCGGCGGCAAAAGAAGCCCGCTGTTTCTGTGATTGCACTGCGGTGGGCTTGAACTTATATGAGGTATGAATAGTAAATGCTGTTGAACACAGCTGCGGCCAAATGGCTGAAACTGTACCTATAAATCGGATTCTATTGCGCCTCAGGCTGTGCACTTGATTCTGAAAATGTGTCCGATAAGAAAATTTACTCCAAAGCCATGCAACATTGTCTGTCATGTTGGGAATGATTTACTTCGGAGTTATGGTCGCTGGACTTTAAAACAGATATCACATAGACAGGTTGATAGCGTCATTCTTAATTAGATAATTGTAATTTGCAGCCAGTTGCAATGCTTGAAAATGTATTCGCTTTCATCCGCCTTTAAAAATGGAAGAAAGTATTAGCACACCGCTCAAATTAATCTTAAACATCAATATTTGAATAAAAAAGTCTTTTGTGTTCCTTCTAGTTACTGAAGCAATTAAGCAGCCGAATCAGCATGAAACCCGCAGCAGAGCCAACATCATTGCATTGTCGCTGTGAACACATTATTTTCGTTTCGCCCGTCGACCAGTTCCATCGCCCGTTTGGTTCCAAACAGTTCCGAACTAAGCAAACCAAGCCATCACATGGACACGTGGCAATTATTGTGGATCGATCGGAGAAGGCCGGAAAGCAACGGCCTCCACGAACGCGTCAACCTCAACCTTTGACCCGTCCCACCTGGACCGGTCTGACCTGAACTGACCTCAACTGACCGGATGTCTGTTTTCAATTTCAGACTCTGGAATCTTCCTGGAAACGATATGCGTGATGCCCAACGAATGGCCGCTGATCTTCAGCTCGTTCGTCTTCTTCATCGTGCCAATGACGAGTTTATTGTTCGTCTACCTCTGCATCGGAGTGCAGGTGAGAGTTAACCCGCGCCCAGCTGGGGGTCCTGGATTTCCACGCCCTGCTGGGGGGGGGGGGGTGTTTGAACACCCCCCCTTGTAACTCGGCTCCTGGGCCACGTAGCGATACGCGGAAGGCGGCGTTCGAAAGAGCGTCAAAAATAATGACGAAATCACTTCGGTCAATTTTTGGTCAGGTCAAAGGTCAGGTCACCAGAGGTCATTGAAGGCAAAATTTCGCCGATTTCCAGGTCGAATGTCGAAAATTTCCAAGAAGCCAACGCGTAACTCGGGAACCAATAGAGCTACAGCGCCGCGGAAAAGCGCATTCGATAGCCCTATTAACGCCCTTTCTGAGTAATTCTCTCAGATTTGACCTATTGTCAACGGTTTTGCCTGCAGGGGGCAAAAACTGCAAAAATAGCCGATTTTTTCGGAAACAGTTTTTCTGCAATAACTTTTGACCCAAGCGTTGTACGAGCTTACTATCACCGGCATCGTGCTCCTCTCGTCAAGACGCATCGAATGAACTATAATTTGACCTTGAAAGGTCAACTTGAAAATTTGACCTCAGGTCAAGGTCATGACCTGACCGGAAAGGGTCATGTTGCATATCAGTCGATCCGTATCGTCGAGCTGAACACATCCAAGGCGTTTTCATCGCTCTAGCATGCCTCTATCAAAAGTTATTTGCGAAAAACTGTTAGATACCATTCGTGACCTAAGATGACCTCAGGGCATAAACAAGGGTCACGGACACCATTTTCATGTTCAGTGTGTTTAAACCACTTGTAATTCGGTGTTTGGGAGTCTTTATAATGTCTTTAATCTAAAAGAGGCGCATTTCAATTTTCTCCCATTGACTTATAATGGGGAGGTCGCAAAATTGACCTGACCGTAGGTCATCGATATCAAAATTCTGAGATATACATTTTGTACATGCTATTGCTCTTAGCAATCGCTGAAAGTTTCAAAGCGATCGGTCACTCGGTGTAGCTATGACAGACATTGACACTTTTTATGAGGTGAGGTCACTTCAAGTGACCTGGTGACCTGACCTTGAATGACCTTGGTATGAAATTTTCACAACATGTGTAGAATTTATGTATGATAAGGTGTACCAAAAACGGCGGCGCTTCGCGCCGCTGTTTTTGAGATATTCGCGAAAAACCACAAGGGGGGGTGTTCAAACACCCCCCAGCAGGGCGCGGGTTAATCGTCACTCTCTGGAGAGCCGTAAAACTCGTGGGTGGAAATTCTGCCGGCTAAGCTGGAGTTTACCGAGCTCGTCTGCCACTCCCCGGTCTCCCCAGTTGGAGTTCAGCGGCCACTAGTGAGTCCCCAGACTCAGATTCCGGCCAGGGACCCGTGACCCAGGGCGCTATGACCCCGTGTCGGAGTCCCTAGATCCCGCCTCGGGACGGTTTAGCCCGTCTGAACTCCGGGTGAGGTCGTTAGCAATTTGCGGCACTTGGAGTGAGACAGCTCACCCGTCGCTCGTAAATCGGATCGCCGTTCTGGGAAGGTGTTCACCTCAATTGCTGCAATATTTCTTAGATGACATTTTCACCGCGGTTGGGGCATCTTTGTTGAAACGAATCGTGTTCTATATATTGTATGATGGCTCAGGGGATATTTGATAGGTTTCCTAAAGACCTTTAATACTCATCGAAATTGGAGTGAGAGCCTTTTCTCGTCATGTAGTGCCACTAATAATACTTTAAAATGAAGAGCCCGTAAGAAGACATTGTTTATTGCATGCTGCTATGTTCGTGTCTCATTGAAGGGCTTTTCATTGAAAGTCGTTGAGATAAATTGAGTATGCGAGAACTACTTATCGTTTCATCACCCTTGTAAGTTGTAACAGCCATTTTGGTCGTCTTCCTTTTACATTTTTTGTTCTCCCGTCGGAGCTTCATTAATTGCTTCTCAGATTAAGCAAACTTGCCGCGACATGCTTCAAGAGCATTTTATGCAAGGAAGCTACCGCATCACTAAAATAGCTGCTGCGCTATACCCGTGCTACCTTGGAATGCTTTACATGTTCACTTATAGGCTAAACCAACATATCTACATTCCCTCGAAGTCCCTGAAACCGAGTTTAAGTTCCCGCTGGGAATTGCGAATCTCCCCAGCGGGCCGACCCCTCTGTTTGCGCGTGCTGCGTCCAGATCGATCCTTCGACAGGCCTACTGTTTCCGGGCGTCGTTTTTATCAGCGGCCGCCCGGCCGGCGGCGGGCGTCGTTTGTCGGCCTCTGTTTGTCGCAACTGCGCCACCAGCGTCACATGTGCCGATTCGGGACGGCGATCTCTCCTGCAACCCCGAGACGCTGTGAACTGGCCTTGACTGAACGACGGGGTGCTTTCGCGGCGAGCGAGGCGCTCTTTGGCGAGCATGACGCAAGCTTTCCACGGAGGGAGGGCTTTGGGGGCACGTCGCTCGGGCGGACAACTTTGTCCAACTGCGACATGCGACGAGCCAGCTGTGTCATACACCCCAAAAGTGACCAAACTGGCCATCAACTTGGGTTTATCACAAACTTGAGGAGCTCCTGGTGGTTTTAAGAGAACAGGCCCCAGCTGAGCCTCTTGTGCATAATGCTTCATAAGAACCACTTCATCTAAGATAGCGATACTTTAAGACGTTTTAGTAACAAAGGTAGGGGATGCGATGCCCGCATAGCTGAGTTGCAGCTGTAAACGTATAAATACATATAAGCCTACATTTTCTTTTTTGCAAAAGTGGGCTTGGCTATTTTAAGCGAGACATTTGTCTTGATAAACGTCAGCGCTTGTCAACAAAGTGTTATTTACTGCATTCTTCATCAATTATGTTGACTCTAAAGCGCATGTCGCTACATTTTTAGAATTTCACAATCAACTAACTTAATTCTGACAAACAGCATGTCCAAGCTTTTTTATGTATAAGAAACCACCTTATATAAACCCCTGTGTCTCTGAAAGGACCGCTCATGTCGAACACGAGCCGATCGTCTCGCTGGTGCCCGGGAGAGCGATGTTAACCGTCGGGCCCGCCCTCTCCGCTCCCTTCAGACGGTTTTGCGGCAACTTTTGAAGACTGCCAGATGGGATATTCAGCCGAGACGGCGGCCGGCTGCGTTTGCAGCTGTCTGTTTGGATCTCGAACCCGAAATTCGCCGACAAGGCAATAAAACTGTGGGCAGGCGTGCCTCTGCGGCTGATGCATTCAGACGGCGAAACGGATGGAGGATGTTCGACAGGAATAAAATAAACAATTTTCAAAAGTTTGTTTGGGTAGGTGCTGCGAGGTCGTGGAGCATAGGTATGTGTCAAAACTTATATTCACTGCGGATGTTTGCTGATTTTCACTGTAGTCATCGGCACAAAATCACATTCCACAGGCAATCTTTCCGTCAACTTTGTCCCATTATGACAACTGACGTTTTGCACTCTCGACAGCAGTCATTGCCATCGGGGCGTGTTCCAGGTAACAGCTTATTATTACCGTACTTACACTTGACACCTTTCAGAAGGAAATACACACACCAAGAAGCTTGTCAAATGAGCGGGTACCCTTGCCCGCCCCTGTGTAACCCCTGAGCCCTGCTGGTCCTCCGTTACTGGTTTCCTGGGCTCGCCTCTGTGGCCGCCTAGTGATCGCTCAGTAGTGGCCGACGCGACCGAACCAATAATGGTAAATCGGTGTTCGGTGGTCGCAGTGGAGAACCCGTCTGGTGGGGTGGGGGAGGGGTGACGGGTGCCATGGGACGTTGGGAGAGGAGATGGCGGGAGAAGGGTTTGGGGGACATGGTGGGGAGAAGTAGTGCGTGTGAGAGATACGGTAGTTGCATTATACGAGATACCTACCTATAAGAAATAGGGGTGGAGGTGATATAGTTGGGGGGGGGGGGGGGGAGTGCCATTGTGGGTGTGAAAGCTGAAAAATAGTGGCGATGCTGCTGAAAATAGTTTGAGAAGGGCTGTCGTGGTGTGAAACTGAAGACGGAGAAGATGAGTGCTGAGTGAGGGGATCATTGTGTTGTGGAGGGCGGATGTGGGCCCGGGAGGCGGACTGCGGAGGTAGTTCAAGTACTTATTTGTGGTGGAAGGACAGGGCTGGTGGCGGAAGTGGCGGGCGGCTGTTAGTTAGTTTTGCTGTTGGTCTTTGACGGTGCAGCAGATAGGCGGTGGACTGTGTCTAAGTAGTATTTACAGATGTAAACTATGAGGGATAATTATGAGGCTTCCAGGCTGGTGCTGGGAACAGTAGCAGCCGCTACAGGAAAGATATTGTGATTGCATCCGTGCAACATTATTCATATTCCATTCAGACGCATGTTGCAGCACAACTAGCTTGACGGTTGCCAAAGCAACGCTGCTACATAATTTTTTTTTTTCCAGCTCCGAGCGCTCTGTGGTCTGGTACCACCAATATCCTAACTAGGTCTCCAAACAATTGGCCTCACGACCTTTGACTCTGTCTCGCCGACGATGTCACACATCAGAGTCACGGACTGGGACAGTCAATATAGAAGAGCTGCACATAACTTATGGGACGCTGGATATTCATCGGAATTTAAACGGCTTCTCGTGGTCTAAAATATGGCTCATAACTGGCACAGTTGTCATTTCTGATTAGCTTGGAGACCCCAGAAGAACCCTTGACCCAGTGACCAGGACGTTGCTCATCAGCTGATTACTCTGGACTGCCAGCTGACTACATAGATTATCCACGTTCAGATGCAGGCACTGGGGAGCAGCGCTAAGGCGCCCAACTGCAACTGTGAAGTCTGCAGTTGAAAACCCCCTGGCCCTGGCCGCCAGTCCGGTGGAAAGTATAGAGGCGTTGTGCTTCACACAAGGTATGGTGAGAATGGTCAGACGAAGTCGGTGGAGGTGGTTGAGCACAATGCCTTCTTGTATGACCAAATATAGGGGAAGAGAGAGAGAGAGAGAGAGAGAGAGAGAGAGAGAGAGAGAGAGAGAGAGAGAGAGAGAGAGAGAGAGAGAGAGAGAGAGAGAGAGAGAGAGAGAGAGAGAGAGAGAGAGAGACAGACAGAGACAGACAGACAGACAGACAGACAGACAGACAGACAGACGGACGGACGGACGGACGGACGGACGGACGGACGGACGGACGGACGGACGGACGGACGGACGGATTTAAATCACTTAATAGGGATTAAGTTACTTAAGTTACTTAATCCCTATTAAGTGATTTAAAAATTTTAAATCCTCGCTCATATTGACGTTTTTCACGGCCGCACGAGAGAGATTCGTTGTTTGCTGACATTTGGAGTTTGTGAGAAACCATTTTGTCGGCAGTGTCCCTGTCCGACTGGAGTGTCTGCCCAGGTTTCCACTATGGGAACATTTCTAGAACATTAAGAACATTTCTAAACAATATTTTTTTTAGTCAATTATCAATGTGAGAACAGTCCCACCGCTGAATATTGCGTCATTCAACCCTTGAGCGCAATATGCATTTAACGACTTTGATAGCCAATTCCGTGGACATCACCGTAACCGGAAGTAGATTGTTACACATCTTCCGCCAAAAGAGAGTATTGTCAGGCTACAATCACACTGCAGACATTTATTGCTCCAATTTCGTGCAACTATCGTCAGATATCTTTCGTTTACGGGTCATCTGGGCCAACTGTCACCGACAGTTCGTACTTAGGTGATGGCAGCTATAAATGCCGACGGCCCGGCAGATTGTGCTATGTATAAGATCCTGGAGCTGTGCTCTCATCTTTTTTCTCTCTTTTCCTCTCTCTCTCTCTCTCTCTCTCTCTCTCTCTCTCTCTCTCTCTCACTCTCTCTCTCTTTCTCTCTCTCTCTCTCTCTCTCTCTCTCTCTCTCTCTCTCTCTCTCTCTCTCTCTCTCTCTCTCTCTCTCTCTCTCTCTCTCTCTCTCTCTCCCTCTCTCCCGCTCACTTTGTATTTACCGTTCGGGCGTACTGCACTATCCAACGGTAGCGATTAAATGAAAACCAGGTTCCAACTCTTTGAAGCATGCTGAGGAACTAACTTCCTCCCATTACCCAAGATCAGGACCAGACATATCCTAATTTCCACAAAACTTAATTTCTGCAAGGAGGATGAGAGAAGGTGTCTCTGCCGGCTCTACCTAAAGTAAGCTGCATTGGTGCTAACACTAAACGTACAAATAATTTTAAAAAATGCAACCAACCGTATGTTTTGCCAGAAGCAACATGTTCGCCTCGGTGGCAGGACGTGAGGGACGTCATGACCCATAAGAGCAGACAGGGCCGGTGCCGTCAGGATGTGTAGAAGAAGACAGGCCGCTGACGTCAGACATACCCCGAGACGCACGCCACAATGCCACATTAGCCAGGGACATTGCGGCGTATGCACCAGCGCTGAGAGCCTTTTTGTTCGGATTTCCGGGACATTTATGTCCTCCAATAAAACGTTGTTGCCAGAAAAGACGATTTTCGATTTTCCACCAATCTGAGCGAAATGTTATTTTTTGGGCATTTATGTCGATGATCTGTTGCCAGGCATTTTGTTCGTACTTGTTTGAGATGACATTTTATCAGGATTCGTTGATGCATATGGGAAGGCAAGTGCCTCTGTTGAGCACTCTGAAACTTTCCAGATTTATCTAAAATGTAACATTTTTGTCATCTTTGGAACCATGTGTTTTACGGACAGTATGTACAGTCGCACATATTATATGTTCGATTTTACACACTTGCTGGCATAAAAGACGCTAGCTCACTGTCATTTACGATTACGTAAGCTATTACACAGTATCGGACGATATTTTAGTGGTCTGTGCTTGCAAGTTGCGATCTGCTCAATTACATTAAAGTGATAACACGGATCGTTTGAGCTGAGGCGGCCCGTGGCCATTGGGGTGACAGGAGGGGATATACTCTATCAGGGCGGGGAAACATTGTCGCCTCACATGCGGCAGCCTGTTGCTAAATTGGCTCTCGCTGGCAAAATGCTTCCCTGCTTTAATAGTGACTGATAATTCAAAGCTGGAATGCACTGGTCTTCCCGGCCACAATGCGTCAATTACAAATCTACTCATGTAGCAATTCGAGCTTATTTGAAACTTTGGCATGATAAATTCAATCAACTCGCCATTGGTAGCTAAAATTTGGCGCGCCTGTGGCGCGCCGTTTTAAGCTTTTATTTGGTTGCTGAGTGCCCACCTGATTCTAGCATGCCTGTCAAGTAACTGGCCTCATCATGCACCTGCACAGTGCACGTGACACAAGGCATGCAGTCTGCACGGTGCGTTCTCGTGTGGGCGCGGTGCGCCTCAAATAGAACACCCAAGTCGCAGCGGCGTCGCAGAGGTGTAGCCGATTGTGTTTCATTTCGACCCGTAATTGTCCTAAGACGATCAGGTGGCCGTCTAAGCTGCGAGCGTGACTTCCAGTGGACGGCTATTGCTCTTTTTTAGGGCGCGGCTTTACTCGTTCAGATCAAGCATTGCAATGAAAGGCTTATTGATGTATAGGGCGTACTTATGAGATACATTCGCAGTATGTACGCAAATAATTTTGATTTATGTTGCCGAAGTGGTGATAGCGGCTATGTTTTGACAAGCTATGTTTTTATTTATTCGAGCTTAGTCTATATAGGGTTGGCAGCCACATCCTGCTACGTATCCTTGGCTAAAAAGTTGTTATTGAACTACTCTCGCATACGGTCGTGCATTTACCGGCTCTTAACGTTCCGGATCTTTCACCAGCGTTCAAGTGGCTTTGATTGACGTCAAGATGTCATATGAACACTTCCAAATACTACCAAGCTACAATGACACTACAACGACAAGTGACTGATGTTTGTAGTGATAATGTCATACGAAAGCCTATGGATTAGCAGATTGCTAGTAGGGCGCTTGGCTTGCTTCTACTCTGATTCCACTTTGCTTTTAATAAAGGTTTTTTTCTACTTTCATTTTGCTAGTTTTGGTGTTCATCTCTAGGAAACCCATCAACCTGTAAGAGAAACAAAATTGAATTAAAATTAGCATCAGACTATTCGCGTACGAATAAAAGGAAGGAATATCAATCACTCCTGAATATATTATCATACGAGTGACTTCCAAGTTCCAACCGATGTTTGACTGACGTCGTGCCACATCACTGTGATTGTATCACACCACATCAGAGTAAGAGATGTCTTGCGGTTGAATCCGCCCGATGTGATCTCTCATGTTGCTGTAATGGTGGTGAAGGTGACCTTGGTGACGGTGACGTTGGTGATAGTGATGACGGCGCCGTTGGTAACGGTGATGACGTTGGTGACGATGATGACGGTGACGTTGGTGATGATGGTGACGGTGACGTTGATGACGGTGGTGTTCCCCACAGATCCGTCGGGCGGCCACCATCGGAAACCACCTGGAAGGCACCGTCTCGGGCGGCGAGGCCCGGCAGCGCGGAAACAGGAAGGCCATCCTCCGCATGCTCGGTACGTATTCCGGCCTCCGTTCCTGAGTTCAGACAACATGTGACGTTTGAAAGAAATTGGCATTTCTAAGGACATCTCGGTATGTTCCCATACAAATAAGTTTTAGAAGCATTATCCCGAAAAGGAATCTTACAACTCACCACATCTCTAACATCGGCAGAATAACGACCACCATTACATCGATTCCGAGAATTTTTGAACAAATCTCGATATATCTTACAAAGCGACAGCTTCTTGATCTTCAATTTCACCACAGATAGGCGTTGATGGCGTAGCACCATAGCTAGGATTGTCTCCAAGGCTGCCAAATTGTGCCCTGAAGGTATTCCTGACTGATACTACAGTAAAAATGTCAGACTTCAGAAATGGAGTACCTCATGCATACGTAACTGATGACCAATGTCGCTTAGTAATATCTCTTTGAGAACAATGCTCAGTAGCCAAAAGATTTGTTTTAATGCAAATAAATATTCGGTAATTTCTGTACAAATGAAGAGGAGAATATTCAAACTTTTTTCATTATCACGCACCGCAATATTATCCTTGCAAACATTTCTGCTTCACTACATCATATCTAGCCCTGTTAGCAGCAGGCCCCTGAAAATAAATGGTAAAAAAAAACAGCAGGTTGTTTTCTTTTCCGCTCTTTCCCGGAGAGGTCGTCTGACGACAGGACTCGGTCAGACACGTAAAACGAGCAATTCCGCTCCACTCAATCGATGGGCTCGTGCTCTGCCTGTCTGCGGCAGCCACAGGAGGTGGGCTGCCCCCTCCCCTCCTCTGCCCGTCTCCCATTCCCTCCGCGCCGCCCCCTGCCATGCGCTCCCATCGAGCGATCTCTCCCCCGTCCTCTCTCCGCTCTCTCCTCCCGTCCTCTCCCCGCTCTCTCCCTGTCGGAGGAGCAGCAGCACTCGGCCCTCATCCTCCGGCCCGCCGAGAGTGTCACGATAACGCCCCGGTGACGACGCGGCTGAGATGCCACCGAGACGGCCCACTGGCGAGACCGGCCACGTCCGGCCCCTCTGTGACGTCACGCGTGCCAATGACGTCACTGGTGGTGGTGCGACGGGAATGCGAACAGAGCTAACGAGCGTAGTGACTGCCAGGAAGAGCGATTGAGTTTCGTAATGGGAGTGGAAAGAATCTCTCTTGGGTGTTACTTTAGGTCAGTTCTGTGAACTTCCACCCGACAGGTCGTAAGTTACATTGAGAGATGGTAAATACCTAAAACTACGTGAAAATTCACCTGTCTGTCTGACTTTCCATTCGTCCCTCGCCCTCTCTCCTTCTCCTTCGTCTCTCTCTCTCTCTCTCTCTTTCTCTCTCTCTCTCTCTCTCTCTCTCTCTCTCTCTCTCTCTCTCTCTCTCTCTCTCTCTCTCTCTCTCTCTCTCTCTCTCTCTCTCCCTTTGTTGTGCCTCATCAGCCTCATCTTTACCGTTTTCCGTCATGACCATTCACATTATTTCTTTCCCTCATTTTTTTCTTCCCTCTCCTCTTCCGCGCACCACCCGCTCCGCTCTTCTTTGTTTCTGTTCTTTCTCCATCCTCCCCTCCCCCCGAAGTGTGTTGGCACGTGACTTCCGCTCTGAGGGTGGCACTAACAGGCGCCGTGTCCCGATCAGTCGCCGCCTCTCCATGAAGAACAGACGGAAATTGGCTCGCGGCTGTGCCTTATTGGCTACTCCGTCCACAATCATCTCTGTGGCGGCACGGGCGGTGGTGGTAGGGTCGGCGGCTGAGGTGGTTGGGAAAGGATACCGCACTAGCATGTCCGTCAAGACAGTCCATATCCAGCCCAGATCCAGTCCGGATTCAGTCCGGATTCAGCCCGCCACAGATCCACATGAAAGCCACACCCTACAGAGCCCTTGGGATGTGAAATACATACAATGCAGCGGGGAAGCTCTTGGGGTGTAGAATACAGCAGTTCTAACCCCGATTGGGATTCGAGATGAATGACACGAACGAGGGGCTCCCCGGGCCATACGGTCTACCAACCGCCGTTGGAACTTCCTTTCGATGGTGTTCTTCGTAAGAACCAACTGTACCTAACGAAGCTCTCGTTCAAGGGCTAGCGTGCTGCCGTTGGAATAATCTGCAGAGTATGCATAGACGTCAAGTTAGAATCCTCAAAGGACATCAGACCAGTTGCAGATGCACCATTGTCTTGCAGTAGACAAAACATTTCAGGCATTTGAAGTTCCCGGGTACTTACCGTAAAGTTCATCTATTCCATACGCAGCCTATTCAACTGATGGACCTACCAGCTTCTATTCTAAAGACTAGCTTTAGTTTGAATTGGGTGATTACAGCTATTCATTGCATAGATCTTCGTGACTGCAGCGGCTTCATTGAACCTGGCGCAAAGTTGAGATTTTGCGTCCAGCACAGCTGACTTTATCTTCGCGATACGATTGACAGGCTGAATGGTTCAAAGGTTTCGCGTTTCGCGTTGATTTTGATGCCCCGTGCATTGAAGCCTCGCCTCATTAAGAAAACAATTACGGGGCTTCTGACGACTGTTCGTTAATCACCAGATCGCTATTTTGTCACTTACGAGAATTATGCGCATAACAACCTTTGCCGGATCCGGGATCAGTCGATTTTCTTCCACAAAAAAAGAAAAATGTATTAATTTTTTTCTTCCATTGCTAGCTTATTTTCCTTGAAAACTAGTTCACCCTTCCGGTTCATTGCCAAAATGTCGCTTGCTATTTATCAATGCGGATGAAATGAGCAATGAACATGGAGCGTTTCGAATCGAGTCATATTCAGTTTTCATGTCTATGGCTGCATTGTCCCAGTTGTCTCAGTGTGTCTCAGTGTGTCTCAGTGTGTCTCAATGTGTGTCTCAGTGTGTCTCAGTGTGTCTCAGTGTGTCTCAGTCCCAGTTTCCATTCCCATGTCCGGGTGGTCGGTATAGGCGCAGCCACAGAGCCCTGTATCGGTGGGAGGGGGGGGGGGTCAGTGATGGACTCGAGGACCTTCTCAGTGCGCCGATCACGTCTCTGGCGCGCCAGATTGGCCATCTCCAGAATCGGCGGCCGATTGAGCACCCGACCGCGTCACGTCGTTGCAAAACACAGTAGCCAGACGATTCTAACCGATACAGATCCCCAGACACCGTTGGAGGCTGAGTCCATCCGTCATACAGATTATGGGGCGTTATTAGAGGATATGCTTATCTCCATCCACAGATAACAGTAGTACTACTGTTATCTGTGCTCCATCCAATCCAGTTGTTGCAGAGTAGTAAAAGTTTGGGGTTATCGTGTTTCGTACAGTTCTCCTTGCAAGAATCTCAATTCTAATTTTCGTGAATTGGTGGATTTGCTTTTCCTACGGCTCATGTGGTCACTCAACTCTCTACACTACACTTAAATTCAGGAGAATATGTGTCATTTTTCTCCCGCATTGACTTTCATCTGAATCATCACTGTTTTGTAAAGCAGATAAAAAGGGTGAATATTTGCTTATCCTTGAGTTTTCTTGCCAAAACAACTTTTTCTTACTCGACAATGGTCCATAATACCCGTTTTCACGACGGCCATCTGGTACACATTTAGTGCACATCTGGTACAGATTAGGTGCAGATTTGGTCAAATCAGGTTCAGTGTGTCTCTTAGCAGCTATCAACTAGGGTTGCACTAATTGCTTATATGCTTGCTTTGTCATATCATCAGAGAGCATCATCGATTAAAACACTGAAATAAATTCATGAAATGAAGATATTTGCTGTAAAAGAAATTAGGTGCAGATTTGGTCAAATCAGGTGCATTCGCCGGATAGCCCGTCGTGAAAACGGCAAATGGAAATTTTTGAGCAATCAATACATGCAAGAAATACAACTTGTTGCGGTGTTAAAGGTTTCAATATTACCTAAATGAGCCAAAACCGTATGCCATATCGATCGAGCTTACAGAGGCTGCTGTAAATTAATCATGGACGCTGCGTTGTATTCCCCGATGAATGCTCTCTTACATCTTTTTTTTCGTACTGGCATAGAACAAGCATGGACCTCAGGCAGCACATAATGGAGGTTCCATGTAAGGCTTGGCATAGCTTGGCTCTCTGTGAAAATGGGAGATGGGTGGACATCTCCGACGTTGTAAAGGCCTGACGTCTACGATGCATAGTAGATTACCTCCTATGTTACAGCTAGTATCCGAGAACTTGCATCGATTATTCTTATAAATATGAAAGGGATATTAAAGTTCATGTGCATGCGAACATCAACGGTCATCTTATTGTTCACATCCAAAACTCAATCTTGACGGCATTGGAAGCCATTTTTGCTGCTGCACTATGTCATCATCGGTCAAGTTCAACCAAATTTCACTTCAGGGTGCCCCATTGCATATTTTTAGGACAGGTCCTTTTTCTGTCTATGATGACTCCATGTTTCTTTCAATGAGAGCCCCATTTAGTTCTCTCCTTGAATGCCCATTTCTGTACCCTGATACCCCAATGTCTCGTTTCTCGATACATATTCCATTTCTGTCTCGATAAAAAGTCTATTCTTTGTCTTTGTGCCTAGTAGCTCAATGGAGGCACCTTTTTTACTACCTCTCCAATTCTCCATGTGCGCCTCTGACTAGAGACTCCATGTCAGTCTCTCGGCGGAGGCTCTGCGCCTGTCTCTCAGTAGGAGCGAGAAGCGTGATGAGCGCCCAGCCGAGGGTGGTTCCTTCCGTCTCGCGCCTGCCGAATGGAGCCACCCGGTGTCACGCCATGCTGGGTCCCCGGGGTGGGAGGCCTGATTGGGATGTGATGCAGGGAGGGAGAGAGGGGGAGCGAAATGTAGAGAGAAGGAGAGAGGGAGAGAGAGAGAGAGAGAGAGAAGAAAGAAGAAGAGGAAGGAGAGATAGAGAGAGTTACAGAGATAAAGAGAGAGAGAGAGAGAGAGAGAGAGAGGAGAGGAGAGAGGAGAGAGAGAGAGAGAGAGAGAGAGAGAGGGGGGGGGAGAGGGAGAAGGGGACGAGGCGAGTCCCACGGACGA